ATCGCCTAAAGAGCCTGGGGTTGTTTTCCCTTGAACGACGTAGACTGAGAGGCGATCTGATAGAAACATTTAAGATCATGAAGGGCCTCAGTGCCATCGTGCCCTCTGATTTATTTGAGCTGGCTGATTTGAACTTGAGCTGGCTGATTCTGAACGCTTGCGTGGACATCGCTTGAAACTCAAACAGCAGAGGGCTAGACTGAACGTCAGGGCTAAGTTCTTCTCGAATCGTGTAGTGCGCAACTGGAATAAGTTGCCTTCGGAACTAATGGATTGTGAGGCTGTGGTTCCCTTCAAAGCAGGCCTAGACAGGTGCTGGCCGCGTATTTTTCCGGAATTAATATAATCCTATCCAATTTATTCGCATTGATATCCGATGTTGATCCTTGTAAAAGCAAAGGTTGCTCTCGCTTTTGCTTCATTTCTTTTTGCAGAGGCAAGGAGAGGCGATCAAAAGTCGAAGTGCCGGGGGCTCTGGTTCGCTTACCGGTACAAGAAGCTGTACGCTCGTTAGGCGGAAGCCTATCTCGTCCACGGATTTTGACCTGACCTGACCTACTTAGAAAGGAGCACCAAAGCTGGCAACGGTACATCCGCACTGTATTCAAGCAAAGAGTACACCGTGCTTCGTGATGACATGGCAAAAGCTTGTCTACTAGCTTCGCAATATTCCTCTGTGTATACGACGGAGGCGCATTAGTTGTTGAGGTTACTCCCTTTCACCCCTCTCCATTAGAGCTTGTCGAAATTACCACTGACAGAGTACTGGAACTGCTCGACTAGAACTCGAATTTTTCACCGGGTCCCGATAGCTATCATCCTTTATTTCTCAAAGAAGTGGCGGAGTTCATTGCTGCACCAATTTGTCAAGTATTTCGAAACTCACTTGAAGCAGGTCGTCTCTCAACTAAATGGAAAGCAAATGTTGTGAAACCTATGTACAGAGGTGGGAATCGCCATGATCCAGTAAATTACCGGCCGATTTGCCTGTCATCAATCCTCTGAAAAACCATGGAAAGGATTTTAAAACAGGCCTTTCAACTTCACTTTGAGAAATTGAACGTCATCTCTCCTGCTCAGCACGGATTTCGGAGGGCACGCTCTTGCATTACCAATCTGCTTGTTGCCCGAGGAAAGTGGGCGTAGTCAGGGGAGGCTGGTCATCGCCTTGATGTAGTTTTTGTGGATTTCAGCAAAGCGTTTGATAGGGTTCCACACAAGCGACTTCTTATCAAACTTCGGCAGATTGGCATTGCTGGCAATTTCTCGCCTTGATCGCTGATTTCCTAGATGGCCGTAGTATGGGGGTGAAGGTTAACGGAGTTGACTCTGGTCCTGTTCTTATGACCAGTGGGGTTCCACAAGGCTGCGTTCTTGGTCCTGAACTATTCAAAATCTTTATCCACGATTTTCCAGAGGTGCTCCAAATCGACTGCTTAATCTATGCGGATGATCTTAAACTGTGGGCAGAAGTATCCAGGCTTGAAGATGCTGACAGGTAGCAACTGACGCTGGATCTGCTGCACGATTGGTCTGTCAAGTGACAAATGCCTATCAATCTTGATAAGTGCTGTGTTCTCCCGATCAATGATCAGGCACTTTTCGGTGCTTACTACACTGGTGGCTTTCCGCTGAAGAACGTGGTTGGTGAAAAGCATTTGGGTGTATTAGCTTCTTCAGACCTAAGAACAACCCAGGACACGTTGCGGAAGGTGGCATCTGCCAACAGGATGCTCTGTGCCATACGAAGGTCGTTCTACAAACTGACTACGCAGAACTTCAGACTCCTGTTTTCCTCCCACGTTCGTCCAGTACTGGAATACGGCCTACCTGCCATACACCCACTCACGAAATTTGAATGTTAGTTTAATGAGAAGGTTCAGAGGCGCGGATCCAAGTCTGTGTTTGTGCTACGTGTTTTACCTTGTCCACTTCGTCTCCAACGTATGAACTTATTTACTCTGGAATACCGCCATCGACGTGGCGATCTGATTTATACTAGACGCATTTTAAGGGGCGATTTGGGGAAGGAGGTGATGCAGTTCTTCCAGCTCAACACAGATTGTTCAACACGGGGCCACAGCTTGAAACCTTTTAAACCTCGGAGGAACCATATCCGGTCCGATATCGCGTTATCCACACGGGTTGTGAATGAATGGAACAATCTCCCTGTATACGTGGTAAGTGCCCAGACAGAGGAATGTTTTAAAGAACGATTGAACAAGTACCTGCTGAGCATGTCTGGATTCCGCTGTTTTTGCTGCAGCTGCAACAAACCCTCGGAGAACACAGTTTAGCAGAGACACGTGCCATCCAGCCAATGAACGGGAGGTGATGGAGCTGACACGGGTTTTCCCTTCTGCTCTCTACAACTCTATGAAGTCTATGAGCTATGAGACCCATTCTCACTGTAGCGCGTTAGTGTCGCAGTAGCAAGCCAACTGGTAAGTTGTCGTGGAGTGTATCCTGTGTTGTGAGCACCTTTTACTTCTCTTTTGATCGCGCTTTTTAGGTGAAATATCGTGAAGCGCGGTGTTTGACGAAACACCTGACAAAATTTGACCTTCGTCAAATTTTCTCTAAGAACAAGGGGTTATGTCTAACTCAGTGTTTGCATTGTGCGAAAGTGGTGTCTAAGGGTATCCAATGCATTGCCTGCAAACCCTGGGCATGTGGCCAAAAGCGTTGCTCGCAACTTACTGAACCGCTCTTCAAGACCTATGCTTAGGATAAGGATTTGCTATGGATTTGTCAATATTGCATCGATGCTGCTGCGTTGGCAGGGCTTCCGCCACATCGACATCCTAAAAGGACGTTTTTCCGCTGCTTCTGCTATGCGTGCCAGAAAGCGGAGCAGCACATCTTCCAGCGGCACTCCAAAAGTCGCGGCCATCCACGCCCCATCCTTCTCATTCGGACCCATCGACACACATCCGACCTAGTGTGTGACCTAGCCTAAGCACGGTTCCTATTCACGCACGTATTCGGGTGACACGTTGGATCCTCTAAAACAGACAGCCTTATGCATACGACGTGGGGACCAGACGCGCGAGACATAGACGCACACGATCACGTGACCACGCGACTCCCAATCACCCACAAGAGACGAGGCAAGACAAAGCGGACCTCTGGGAGTTCTTTTACGACCCACAAAGGCCGAATCACGGTTGGAACAATGCAATGAATCACCACATAGGGCGCGTAGTTTACGAAAGAACACTGTACACTCTAGCCCAGTTGCATCCATACTCTGGCTGGCTGGATTCTGCTGCGTTGTGGGCAGGAAGTAAACTCTGGGTGGCGCAGCCCACGCACTGGAGCTTGTGGCTCATTTTCGCGGGGTTACTTGACGTTCTCGCAACACCACTTTTTGAAGGTAATGTGTATCGCTTCTGACGAGGATTGACCTCGAGGGATCTCGTAACCTCCGGATTCTTCCTGTCCGTCGGTGAGGAGGCTTCTCAAGACGTTACGGCGATTGGGCTGCTTCGACCGTGGTCTCTTTTGTGTGGCCATTCCGAAAGTATCCAACAAGATGTGCAGCGGCGAGTGCACAGGCTGGCTGGCGTGGAGGCTTCTCCGTGTCACGATCGAAGTTGATTGCGACGGCGGACCTACTTGTCATCAACTACGAAGATATCACGCAGCATCTCACCACGACGGACCGTCACTGTTGCTTTGATCCAGCGTGGATGACCTGCCCGATAGTCGCGAGCGTATACCGCGGCTCCAACGACGAATTCATTGTACTGGATGCATGCAGTGCGTTGACTTAGTAGCTTTTCGATCGGGACGTGTCCTCAAGTGGTGCGCAGCTTGCCTCCCATCAATGCTTCAGCTGGTGACTGGTATCGTGGTGCTTCTGCATTTGGTGTGGATCGATAAGAGAGAAAGAACGCTTGAAGGTATTCATCCACGGTCCCATCCCCGCGAGATTTCAAGTGTGCCCTCTTCTTGACCATTGGTCTGGTGATGGTAGGACGGTAAGCGTAAGTGTCGGATGCAATGCCGGCAACAAAAGTCTTCGAAAATGGAAGACGTAAACTGCGAGCCATTGTCGGAAACCAAGACCTCGGGGAGTTCATGTCGATTGAAGATTCGTTCTAGACAACCCAGTGTGGCGGATGCGGTTGGTGGGTTGACGGCGACAACTTCAGGCCATTTGGAGCAGGCGTCGACCACGACCAGGTAGGAAATGCCATCGATCGGACCAATATAGTCGTTGTGCACTTGAGACCATGGTTTTTCTGTCGGCAGCCAAGGAACTTGTGCTTGGTGTGGTGGCATCTTGGATGTTTGTTGACTCCTTGAGCAACCGCGAACCAAATCTTCAATCTCGTTGTCAATGCCAGGCCAGTACACTTAACTGGGGGGTGATTGTCTTCATTCTATTCATATCGACGTGAGCAGAATGGAGCTGGCGGAGTACATATTGCCGAAGGCGTCGCGCTCTATTCGCTCGTCAAGGACCTGGCTGGAAGCGACCGCGTGGTGGTCAGCCTTCCACTTGGCGGCAGCACATGAAATCGCTGACGTCGTGTCTAGCCGCTGTTGGACCCGTACGTCTTCCAGGATGGGGACCCAAAGATGGGGAGTGCCAATGGCTTAGGACACTTGAAGACATGGCCCGCAACCGGAATCAATGGAAGAATTGTGTACAGTGTTGTGTTGATTCCCATGTTTAATTCTACAAACATTGAAAATGACAAAAAAGAGAAAAATCGGCGTGTGACAAACAAACTAAAAATGTTTTGTTCTGTATTTTTGTCAAAATATTCCATTTTCTTGCGGCATATTAACTGAAGTGTGTTGCCCACCTTCAGCTAGCATGCCACGACGATTATGACGCAATGACTGTCTCTTATACACTGATTTCCATGGCTTTCTTGGCTCTACGTCTAGTTACTAGACTGTTGAGATTACACATATACACACATATTGCCGAAGATATGAAGGAACGACAACTAGATATGCAGTCATGTGGCAGGAGTCGACCACGGAAAAGGATTTGCGACGTTGATACAATTGCTTGAGCTCACCAGACAAGGCAGTGTTTGGTCAGCGCGTCTTAACCTAAGGGACGGCTGTTCGCAGGACAGGGAGACTTCGGATAGCGTTCGAGAGTTGATGACGAACGTCTTCTTCGACGGTAACAGCGGTGATCACCGTGTATTCTGTAGCATATTTTGGGATGTGGCGGGTGTCTGTCGGCTTGACCGAAATCCTGAGTACGGCAGTAGCGGAATTCGAAGTCGTAACCAAGAAGAATAACAGCCATACGCTGAAATCGGCTAGCCAAGTGTCCAGGAATGCCAATCTTAGAACTGAAGATTGAAAGTAGTGGCTTGTGATCGGCCAGTAGCGTGAATCGCCTGCCATGTAGCATCCTGTGGAGTTTAGTGACGGCAAATACGATGATCAGGGCTTCCTTCTCAATCTGACCATAGTTCTTCTCCGCAGGCGTCAGGGTACGTGAAACGTGCATAACCGCTTTTTCGGAACCGTTTGGGAAACGGTGAAAGAAAACTTCTCTAATGCCGTAGGCAAGGGCGTGAGCAAAGACCGAAATCTGCAAGGTCGGCTCGTACTGGATTAGCAGTAGGTCAGAATTCAGCTTCGATTTCGGATGAACGAAAGCCTTTTCGCATGTGGGGGACCAATGCCAAAGAACGTCCTTCTGCAGCAACCGATTGAGCGGGGCTCGAATATGGTATAGTGATAGGAAGACGCTGTAGCTGATGACACCCTGGAAGGACCGTAGTTGTGATCCATTCACTGGAGCTGGCGTCTGCTGGATGGCTCTGGCGTTCTAAGGATCAGAATGACGGCCACTGGCATTAAAAACGAACCCAAGGTATTTGGTCGACAGAAGAAAGAATCGGCAATTTTGGCTTTCATGCGGACACCATACTACTGGACACGCTGAGGTACCGCAACCAAGTGCTCTTGAAGCTCTTCTGGGGTGCGACCAACATTGTGTCAATCGTCCAGGTACTCGGTCGTACCCGGAATACCAGAGATCATTGTGTCCATCGTCAGTTAGAAAATAGCCGGAGTGGTTTTGACACCAAACCGGAGCCTAGTGTATTGAAGAAGACCACGATGTGTGTTGATCGTCAACAGGACTTGTGACTCGCAGTGGACTTCGATCTGCAGGTAGGCGTCTGCCAGGTCGATTTTGGCGAAACTCGTACCACCGTTGAGTGTTGTGAAAAGGTCTGTTGAGTTCGGTAGTGGGTAACATTTTAGCTTTAACGCAGCGTTGAGACCGGTAGAGAAATCCGCACAGGTACGGAGGGATCCATTCGGCTTCTTGACCATGACAATCGGCGCTGCCCTGACGGAATAGGACGCAGACACCAGAACGCCCATGTCTTCCAAGCGTTTGAGTTCAGCATCGACCAAGGACAGGACTGCGTATGGGACAGGCCTATTGGGACAGAATACTGGTTAGCCCCATGTACGAGCTGTATCGCGGCGCGCGTGCGTGTACAGCGGCCAAGACCATCCTGGAACACCGGGGCGAACTGTCTGATGATTTCGTCAGTTCGGTCCCTTGGTACTGCGTAGAATGTACCGCGTTGCAGATGGCCCGAAGTGACAGATCGGCCAAGCCAAGGGTTTCGAGCCAGTCGAGACCAAGTAGGTTGAGCTTCGCCGTGTTGTAGCAAATCTCGTTGAATGTGGCGCCTCGGAGAGAGAGATGGTGTAGTGCAGCTGCTCAGTTAGCTGCACGCGACCTCCGCAGACGCTGGTAGCAGATCGGGAGGTCGGTTCGAATGGAGGTTTCCCGTGGGATCGACAGAGATCCTCGGAGATGATCGTGATGTCCATCGCAGTGTCCAACTGCAATCGGACGGACTGATCGTTGGCCAAGACGTCGACACATTTTCTGTGATCCGAAGCGTTTACTTGGAACGCGGCCAGCAGGCTCAGGGAGCTGATAATCGGACCAGGTTTGGGTTTGTGTGGGTCAGAACCTCTTCTTTGGATCGCGTTTGGGGGCCAGCCCAGTTTTGGCCCCCTTGGAAGTCGTAGGATGACAATAACCATTCCGGTGCCTCACCAAGCCACAACGTTGGCATTGGTTCTGGTGGAAATTGCAGTCCCGGTGGAAATGCTAGGCACCACAGAATCGGCAAGTGTAGGGTGGGGACTTTGCTCGGTTGGACTGGGTGGAGCGCAAGGTCGATTGCACCCTATGTGCTGCGACTGCCTGGACCTTACCAGATGCGGCGGTTTTCTGGATCATGATAGAGTCGTGTTTCAGGTTCAGCAGCGTTTGACACTCATTTAGGTTTTGGAGTGTGGCAGTGGTATCCTACTATAGCTTAGATGGGAGGTGCGTCCGCATCATTATCATCATCATTATACACGTCAGCTAGAGGTGGAAAACACTTCAGCTACTGTGCTGCAATACATAAATGAAAAAGGAAAATAAATACAACAGTTGCATGCCAGCTGAGCTACCAGCAACGGATAGGCATCCTTCCGGTAAGCTACCAGCCGGCTACTAGGCAAAAAGAAAAAAATATTGTTTTGCGATAAGACATGCGATCGTAGGTGGCGGGGAGGCTAAAAGGAATGGGGAGGGACAAAGAAACTCACAGCAGAAACGCCACTGAGGCCGGCTCCTTGCAATGTCAGCAAGTGTATCCAGCCAAACTTGTTCACCGTCTTTTGGACCCCAACCAGGCAGCCGTGACGCTCCAACCGAGGCCAGCACAGAAGTGAGGGCCTTCATTCCTCTGGACCAAGTCATCGCTTGCCCACCCCTCCTCTTCTTCCATCCACATCCTAGGTGAGAAAACAACACACGTCGTGGAAGTCGATGGGTTGGCATACGCAACACGTGGCTCAGCCATCGGAGCCTGGTGCGTGAAATCACGGTGCTGATTGGTTCAGTTCCTTTTCCTGTGCCGTAAACAAAGCGTCGAACACGCTCGTTACTCACGCGGTGTTCCCACCAGATGTGAGCCAAACTGCGAAGGCACGGATGATCGAACGTAACCAGCTTCTTCATGTCCGCCTATCTTAGGGTCAGGTTTCGCAACCGTAAGGTAAGGTCGAACGTACCGATGCATTCTACACTCTACCCATCAGGGCGAGAGTAATGTCGCGCCGCCGCCATAGGTGGCGAAGGTTAGCAAAAGCACTTCGCGCTTTTGCTATACGGTTCGTGATCTCGTCTTCGATCCCAAGGGCGCTGATACAACTTCCCAGGTAGTTGAATTTCCGAACGACTTCTAGATGGATACGAGGGATTAAACATACTAAAATTGAGTCCATACTCTCCGTTCCTCAATCCAATCGAGTATGTTTGGCAGGTGGTGAAGGCCAGAGTGAAGAATGAGATGAGAGTTCACTACGAGCAACTTCTGTTCGGGGATCCCCAGGAACTCATGACGCAGATGGAATGGCGGCTGCACTTTCTTGAACGCATTGCCGGAGCAGTCACCAACGATATCAGCGTTGTGGGATGTCTTAATGCTATTCGACATTTGCGTGTACATCTTCCTAATTGTCTAAAAAATGACATGTTTTGACCACGTGCTTGTATAGCACGTCACTGACAGCGCGTAGGGACGTACGGGTATTCATAGTTTCAAAATATGTATCCATATACGTAAGTTTATGTGTTCGTACAGGGGTTGAAGCGATATCCGATGTCTAGCGCGAGTGACAAGGGACTGGCTTCCAGTGAGCCATGCCCGAGTGATATGTTCAACTTATGGTCTTTTTCGTGCTGGTATTCGCCGCGCCGTACTCTTTCATGATCAGCCTGAGATAATGTAGGTAGGGTTTCTTTGTTCGGAAAACTAGGATGTTTGGAAAGCGCATGGTAGGACCAAGTGAGCTTGCCGGGTGAAGCAACCGTCATATGTACCACAGTATGGGATATCAGCGTGGATATTTGAATAGTGCTGAATAGGAAATTACTGCGCACGTCATGTCAGCCTTTTCCAAGAGTGAGAGGAACTGATAGATGCGCAGATGCGAGTTCGCAAACGTGTCTATTGTCAGACAAGATGTCGTCATTGAAGCTGAACGAATGAATCGCGTGTCTAATGGAAACCGTCTCTGTGCGATGTTTGTCCGCTTTATTTGAGTGCACTGGCGCGTTACTTCGTTACCCGATTGGAAGTTGGTCTGTCAAGTTCGGAACCCACATCAGCCGGTTCGAAGGCTGTACTTTAGTTTTAAAGTCAACCATTCCTACAACAAGACCAATGTAATTTACGAGCTAGAAAGGCCCGAATAGCTGTCCAGCACGACTTTGATACCGTATTGATCGTTCGGATGATCCCTCGTTTGACCCAATAGCGTGCGTAAACAAATGGGGGTGGTGTAGTTTGCGTGGATACAGTGGTGTAGCAACTACGTTTGTTGTCCGTGGCGGACGTACAAATGCCGCCGCTCTCGCAGTTGTAAAGCCCACAATTGAAATTGCTATTCAATATTTCATTTCACATAACAAAAATCACAGATTTAATTTTAGAGTGCTGCCGTGAATGCAGCTATTTGAATTGTTATAATACTCGTGTTCAAAATTTAACGGCACACTTTTCGTGCACTACTGGAAGACGTCGGCATCCGAGCTGAATAAGCACTTACCGAACGCAATTGAACATCACTGTTCGAAAATCCGGCAGATGTTGTTTGCAGGGGGTATGTCTTAGTGTAGCAAATCAAATCACCAACCTGGACATTAGGTCGCTACGCAATCTCAGGAACTTCTAGATGCTTGCCAACGTGTTCCGGCTGAAAGCGAACACAAGGAGACTCGCAAAGATTTCTGGGTGAAACTGATTTTTCGCCTGAAAAGAGACTGGGAAGTCTGGTTGCCGAGTGGTCTGCACGCCTGGCTTGCAATCATAAAGTCACTGGTTCGAATCTATTTTCCTGGCCTTATTTGTCAATCTGGATGTCTTCTCGGTGATCACACAGTAGAATGATTTGATGAAAGAGAAACTTTACGATATCCAGCATTTGAGCTTGAATTTCACGCCCCCTCTTTTTTACGAGTGGTAGCTACATATTTTATCAATCACCTTTCCTTCAACTAGCCGGATCGCAAACTTGAGGTTGAGGAGGGACGGAGCCTGCAATATACCAGATGCGTGTACACCGGCTTGTGGGCTTACTTTCCACCAGTTTCTAAAACTCCAAGCCGTCGAAAACCTTGACAATCCCGTTGACTAAGTGTTACACTGAGCCAGTACCGTAGACAGAATGATAACGTGGCACGATAACTGATCATCGCTAGAATGCTAGTGCTCATCATCATCATCATTATACACGTCAGCTAGAGGTGGGAAAACACCTGCGCTATTGTGCCGCAATACATAAATGAAAAGGAAAATAAATACAACAGTTGCATGCCAGCTGAGCTACCAGCA